ACAAGAAGTCCTGGCTTTTGGTTTTGACCATTTTGCAAAGTAAAACTTATCTGCATTTTCTTAGGCCTGGGAATTAGAGATTTAATTGCATATATATTCATCTCTTTTAAAATGCCAGGTGATCATGCTGAAACACCACAGGACTTTCAGTAACTCAAAATTTCTGCTTCGTAACCCCAGAATGCGGTCATAAATTGTGACAGAAAGAACCAGTACAAATACTGTATAGAAAAGTGGCAAATATGGTTAAAATAGGAAGTCTTCCAATGGTCCAAACTTGAAGAAACAATCTCAGTGAACTAAGCAAGGCTACTCTGAAGCAAATGGCTTGTACACAGCATGCAATGCTTGCATCAAAAGGGATTGAAAAACTCAGGCTACATTTTTAAACACTGTTAACCTGGAAGTAAGATTTATCAAAATGGTTTGGACTGGGCCTGGTCTATTACGCATCTGTTGATTGTAAAGACTCCTTTTCTGAAATGCTCCCTCCCCCTTTCAAAAACAAAAACAATTGAGGTACTTCCTTAGTATGCTTTTAATATCTGCATGCTAAGCTTTTAAAATAAATAGTGCATTAAGAATTTTCTGCTGCCTTTTGAAAAATCTGTCTGTGGTTAGAGCTTAACCAAACACTTGACCAGAAAGATTTAAATATTTAAATATTTTGTTGATTGTAGGGTTCATATGCAGAGGTCTGTTGAAGATTTGCTCCAACTATTTAATGAGCTTGACATAAACTGTTTTAATTTCATGGGCCACTTTTCCTTATGTTGACATGAAATTCTGATTTATGTACTTATGTGAAAAAGGACTTAATTTTGTCAATCATGTTAGACTAAAATAAAGAGAAAATAAAAATGTATATTTCAAAACACCTTATGTTTCACATGCCGTATTCTAAAACCTTAAATTTTTGAAGAATTGTGATTACTTGATAACAAAAAGCCAGAGTCCTCTTTCTTAAAGAATGAGAACATTTCAGTATTTTCATCACACTATTGTAAAATTGAACATGGTAAAGAAATCAATAGTTTTTTTTATTATGATGATGGTCAATCTAAATATATACCTTGAACAAGATTCAGACTATATAATAAAATCTTCCTTAATTTATAACTTTAAAACATATATTAATCTTTAAGTGGCAGTATATTCATTCCATGTTCACCAAAATAAAACACTCTTAAAGATTTGAAAGTATTGAATAAAATGTTATAGAAAAACATCAGTCTAAACATTTATAAAAACTCTAAGAGGCAGGGTTGGTTTCCAAATATAATTAATAAGAATGTTTTTTTAAAAAAAAACATACAACATTCACACCAATAGAAAAATACATTTACTGCAAATAGTACATTGTTGTTAAAGGAAAGCCCTATTTCTTTTCTTTTCTTTTAAACTAGTAGACTTTTGGTATTTATTATCTTACTACAGTAGTGCTCCTGTTGACATTTCTAAATTTCCCTCTTTACGTTTAAACCAGTTAAGCATTCTGTTGAGAGTATGCTTTTCTTCCCTAGGGTTGGGGAGAACTTGTCTTGGCAAATATTTCAAACAGAAATTCAACAGGGAAAGCTGCTTCCAGCAAGCAGGCAGTAATGGTGAAATGCTCACCCAATGAATGATCATCTGCCAAAGGCACAGGAGCCATGCTTGTTGGGTGAGGGGGTGGGGGAATCACATAATAGGTGATACAAACTCCAGGCCCCTGCAGCAAACTAAATCTCTATAACTGGCCTCAGTAGGGATAAGAATGGCTGCAAGGAGGTTACATCAGTGAAATTGACTATATAGTGCTTTGTGTACAGCCCACCAGAAAATCTGTCAGGATTGGCTAACTCTCTCTTGTGTAGTCTTGAGCACTGCAGTCAAGCCCACAATTTTGCAGAGGCATACATGACATTAAACGGACATAGATACCATCAGCATAGATTCCTCTTACAAAGTAGCCAGAAAGAGTGCTCTACTTATTTCTGCTGACTGTGCCCACTACATATTACCCAGTTCAGATTTTCAATTTTCTATGTAAGTGCTATGATAAAAAGAAGGAATGCTGGTTTGTAAGGAAAAGATCCTGTATGAGCTGATCCTAAGTCTTTAAATAGAACACAATTTGATGAAAATATAGCTGTAGTTCCATTTCCTTTAAACAAAACAGGGCCAGGTTCATTCAAGCTCTTCTCAATGATTTTATTTTGTAATTAAAATGAATCTTCAATTATTATTTTCAGCTGTTGTGGCTCAAGGCTCATAATGAAAAATACCTGCTTCCCCCACAACCCTAGAGAAGAAAATAAATGTAATAAGCTCTTATGCTTAAAAACTGTTCAGAACCATACAAAATATATTACTATAGCAAACCATTTAACTTCTTCAAATAAGAATAAACATATTTACAACTTATTTTGGGAAAGCATCAAGATATTTGTCGCTGCAAACTGTTGCCACAAATGTTTTTGAAAGAATAACTGCAGCACACATACAACAGTCTTTTCAGTACTAGTAACTGATAAACTTCATTTTTAAAATAATAAATATGGTCCAAGATAAAGGGTACAATCCTTATTATACTTTACTTGGGAGGAAGCCCCAGTTTACCTAGCTGGACTTATTAGTAAATACAAATGTGTTTGCACTGCAAAACATTAAGCAAGCACCTGACTGAATGCTCCCAAAAGAATCTTATTGGAGTACTCATGGTATTTGTGGATTGTATGAGATATTCCCATGCTTCACTGTAAAACCTGCATAATAACCAGTGGCTGGTCTAAAAACTATGACAGCTCCTCAGTGTCCTCTTCATTCTTGCCACAAGGTGTAGCCTGATCAGGAATAACTTTCAAGAGCCTCACTGTTTATAACACAGCTGCTGAGCCACTGGATGTCTCAGCTGCCTAGCATGCCTGCAGTCAGCTGTATCAGGATGCCTTGACTGATAAAAGCTTTTATCAGAACTAGCAGAATAGTCATGCTTCACGATCATGCCCAACAGTTCTACACAGGGCACCCTTTCATACATAATGCTCAGTATTAATCTTCCACATGAAATCCACTTCGTGCCTTAAAACAAGGGTGGAGAAACTTTGGTCCTCCAGATGTTTTTGAACTTCAACTCCCAGATGTCCCAGCCAACCAATGGTAAAGAACAGTGCTAGTCTGTAATCTAAAACATCTGGAGAACTAAAACCTCTCTTTCAGTAGATGGGAGTTCATGTGGAAAATAGAATGCCTTTCACAGTTCTAAAGGTGTGGATCATGCTTCACACAACTGAACATCCACATGTACTGTATGTTTGCATTTCTGAAAAGCTGTTCTTCCTGCCAGGTCAAAATCTCCTTTCAAAACACTGCCAAATTTTAAAACAGCTTGCTACAATAGTGGCATATAGCTGTTCTTCCAAAAACACAAGAGCCCACTGCACTGGGCATGGTGGCACAAGCCCGTCCCTGCATCACCAGGTACTCACCTAATTTTTTTTTTAAGCTCCTCCTGTCCTTGGGTGACCCTAAGCATTTTCATCCTAAAATAATGGGAGTGTGAGGCATTATTCAAAACATGGCATAATTGCCCCATACCCCATAAAGAACTTGAGGGGACATGCTGAGCATTTTTTTAAAAATTCTGTAATTTTTGTGGGTGTGGGGACCTCAAGCAGAGCACAGTCAGCACTTTATCCGTTCTTCCCTACTTCATCCATCCTTCTCAGCTAAAAGATAATCAAAATGATTGTACAGTCTGCCTCCCAAGAATGGATTCTCCATTCATCTCCATGGAGGAAACAGATGAATGAGGACCCCTGTGCAGGCTGAAAATGTTTGCAAACATCTAAGTATACTGTTATCTTTGGAAGGGGTGTACAACTTGCAAAGAGGTACATAAATTGATGGAAGGAACATGTACTGGAGTGAATTAGCTTTACATTCTCTTAAAAGGAAGCATGATGGGAGTCAAATGCCACAATCAAATGCCACAATCAAGAATACTTAGGTATGATTGGGCCCAGTGAAATTAGTGATCTTAAGCTTTCAAGAACACAGCTCACTTAATTGCAGCTCAGATATTTTAACTATTCTTTTGAACATCTGTACACACTATTCTTTTGAACATCTGTACAAACTCAAATTATGATACAGGACAGAAAGATTCCACTTACTGTGGACCTTCTATTTATGAAATACATTTGAGGCATTGCATTTCTCACTCCATTCTGAGAAAAGTATATTTAATAGAGATTTTGTATGTTTAAAATTCATTTATACATATGTAAATATTTACACTTAAACTTTCCATTTAAAACTATTTGTAGTCTTTGCAGGGCTCACTATTGTCACCTAACGATTGTGCTGAGAACCCTACTGGCTAGTAGTGTGTATATCAAGTGTAGTGGTCTGCACTGAATTACCACTAGTCCATGAACACCCAATTGTATCCCTCTTCATACACCAAATCATGCAACTGGCAAGTAGAGACTTATTAGTGGCAATTGGCTGCTGCAGTTTAACACCACTATACTCACACTAACATAGTTAACCAATAGGATTCTGGCCAGTAGGCAATATTATCCTTACACATCATATTCATAACTAGCGTATCCATACATTCTATTGCATTAAAACACATCCACTCCAACACACATCAAGAAGAAACAGACCACACCTTAATTCTGACACTGACTCAATGCTGTTCCATGTTAAAAGTAATACTATTTGTATTAGGATTTCAGCTGCCTGTTGCTCATCTCATAATTCTAGTTACCAAAATATCTATAGAATATCCACCTCCAAGGATCAAATAAAGCCATTTACTTTGTTCCTACACTCTTCTTCAAAACCTCTTTGAAAGAGCAGAAGGCAGGCACACAGGCTGCTACTTTGTATATAAAAGTTCAAATATTCACATATTGCTAACCATTTTACTATGTCTTACGCTATATCCATACAGAAAATACTAGTAACAAAAAGCCCCATGTTAATAAAAGTTTTCAATAATGGTCAAGTTAGTTGAAATGAGGTTTTATTTATTATTGCTAGCATTCAATAAGATCAAGGTCAATACAACAAAGCCCTCAAACCATTTTCTCCTTAACTTCATATGAAGGACTAATATGTATATGGAGTTCATCAGAGAGTTAAGCACTGTGAATACAACAAAACTGGTTTCAAGATTCCCATTACTCCTGCTCCTTTTAATAAGAAGCCATATATACCAGTATCGCATAAAGGAAGATGTCACCAACTTTTAATAAATGTAATTGTTGTATAACTAGGAAATCCTAGACCACCAAACTTGAAAAAGTGAGAAATACTCTACCAATAATACATTTAGTTTACCTTAATCTCCACAACCAAAGCAGCATCACGAACATCAACTTCAGTTATTCAGGGTTCTTTTCCCTTTACGTATGGCCATGTATTTCAATGTTGCAACTTCAGATACATCATGGGAATTAACAGATTTAAAAACAAAAAACCACTTCCCTGTAGGCACTCTTAATGCTTTTTAATTGTGTGTCTGCTCATGGCTCCAAAGGCTAAATGCAGTTTTAAATGTCCTATGGCAGAGTTTGCACATGTATTGTCTTTTGAATGTGATGGCTGAAAGTGGTGGAGCATGATAAAAGAGTGTGTCAGATTCCTGTGGAACAAATAATTTCTCGGTAGCTGAAGGGGTTTCTGACAAGCCTGTTGGGCTATCAGGTTCTAAAGGCTGGATTTTGGGAAGTGGTGGAGGTGGAGGCAAAGGTGGTGGTGATGGCGAATTCGCTGATGCACACATGTCAGGTTCTTTACGTACAGGTTCCTCCGCGGCTTGTGTCATATGTGACTGGAAATGACTCCACAGACGGAAGTTGGTTCGGAAGGCCTTGTTGCACACATGGCAAATGAAGGGCTTCACAGAGCATAAAAGCTCTTGGTGACGCTCTAGTTGCTTGTGTACAGTAAATATTTTCCCACACTTTTCACAGGGCCACAAACCAGTATCTTTATTAGCCACCCCTTCCTTGGACTCGGGATTACCTTCTGAAATCTCCTCCTCAACATCATCCGCAGGTTCTTCTTTAATTTGAAGTTTAAACTGTTTGGAAATACTAAGATCTTCAGGGTGGCAGGAAGAGTCTTCTGAATCAAAATTTATTTGCTCTGAGGAATCACTGAATACACCATCTTCTTTGGCAGCCACCACATTGTTCATTTTGTTAGGCTCTGGCTGGGAATGCAGCCTTGAAGCACTACTTAGTTCGCCGTTGTGTTCTAGAACGGGTAAAGAAAAATTCTCTGTTGGAGCCATCGTATTTTGATTGTGGACTTCAACTTGATGACGCCAAATGCTGAAGGAAGATTTGAAAGTGCGCATACATTCTAGGCAAGTCAGCTTCTTGTATTCACATGTGATTTCATGGTCATGTTTCAGCTCTAACGAAGAAAACCGAAGGCTGCAGTAAGGACAAACGGTTGCGTTCCGGCAGAGCCGCTCATGGTTTCCCTGTTCAATGAGAGAGGAAAGTTTAGCATTACAAAGACGACACTGATAAGCTTTTTTATTTTCTACTGGGCTCTCAATATGGGCATCCTCTTTTGGTTTAAGAGCCTTATTTCCTCCAACTGTTTTTTCCCCTGGGTGCATTTTTATATGCTGCTTAAATTGTGACAGGAAGCGATATGCTTTCCCACAGTAGGTGCAAATGTAGGCTCCTCTGGTCCTTGACCTCAGGTTCCTTTTAATGACTTGTTGTGCTTGTGAACCAGCCTGTCCCTGCTTGCCACGCCTTAGTTTAACAATTAGAGCCTTTTTAATCTCTCGCTCTCTCACTATGTCAATTAGTTTCCTTTGGAATTTTTCATCCAATACAATGTGTGAACTAGAAGCAGGCGAAGGGTTCTTCACAATCCCATGCTGTGTCTGGCAGTGTGTCCATACTTTGAAGTTTGTGTGAAACCTCTTATGACAAATGTCACAAGCATATGGTTTTTCAGGATTATGGTACATGTTGACATGACGATGAAGGCCTGCCGTTGACCTGAAAATCTTAAGGCAGTGTTTGCACTTAAACTTTTTATTAGGTTTTGTTTCTTCTAGTTCACTACATTCACCTTTGCTAATGTCAGAATCTGGGTAGTCAGCAAACTGTGTAGGATTTGCGTTTTCCTCAGAATTCTCCTCTGATCCAGGGGGAACATGTTCATCCACTTTAATTTTTTTGAGTGGCAGTCTTCTGTCTGCTTGAAACCGTCTTTTAGCTGGAAATCTACTGAGATCTCTAAAGTCATCTTCAGTTTTAAATGGGCTGTTTTTATTGCCAGATGAAGCATCTCCCACTGTGATTCTTATTATTTCAGAAGGATCTGACAGTGGGCTGCTAGGTTCAGTTTTTATCCGTATTTCCCTAAGAGGAGAACTGATTCCCCTGTCTGTTGACTGGGATGCACTAAAGGACCTAAGGCGATGTGGGTGCATTACCTGTGTTGTGTCATCAGGAGCTGCCTTTTCTGAAGACTCTTTCATAGACACCTTTGGGGGTATCACATTTAAAGTTCTCCCTTGTGTTTTGTTCACCACTGTGGATCCTTGGGAAAGTTTCAGGTCAATAGAAGATGAATAAGTGGGAACTTGACTATCCATGGACAGTGACCTTCGAAGGAGACTTTTTACAAGTGGTCCACTCCGATCAATACTTTGGTTTTCAGGACCAGCGACCCTAGATGGGATCACTAATCCTAACTTGGAGTAGTACAACAAATTCCTGTCTTCTCCTGCACCAGCTCCTTTCCCAGTCTCACTTAGTAAAAATGTAGATTCTGATGAGCTACAGAGAGGCATGACTGGTGGACAAGGCCTTTTCAAGGGCACTTCTGCTGCCTTTCCCTTTAGGAGTTGATCACTTCCTCCTGGTTGATCTGCAATCATTTCCTTGTCTACAAATGGTTTCTGGGACAAAATTGTATTCCTTTTAGTTCTTTGATCATCCACCGCACCTGAAGTTTCATGAGACTTTGAGTATCTTAAAGAACTATCTTTCAGCCATCTCCTTTCATTTAGTGATAAACTATGCAAACACTCAGTTGACTGTGTTACTTGTGGTCTCTTTGTTTTGACAGCAACTGAGGATAAGGGTTTAGAACTATGGCTTATGTCTTGTGGGGCTTGAACAACATTTTCCCCCTGTGTTTCATTTTTGGTCTGACAAACAATAACACTCCTTTTCTGTGAGTTGTTTTCATCTTCCTCATGGAACAGTATTTTTTTAATGGGACATGCAGGTAAAGGAACTTGAGGACTTCTAGAAACAATGTTGGTGAGAAAAGAAATTCCAAGACTGTATCCCACTTCTTGTACTCCAGCAAGGCTGCTTTTCTCAACAAACAAAGATGATGAATAAATATAGTTTAATACATTGTCAAAAGTATCCGGTTCACAGAAGTCAAGTTGAAAAACTGACTGAGATTCATTTTCTTTTTTAGTGAACAGAGTCTGAAAGTATTCACTGCTGGCAGCCAAAACATTTTTATGAGCTCGAAATTTTTGGTCTCCTACGATAAGAACAACGTCACAGAGTTGCCCTTTCAGACGTTCCTCATTTAAAGCACTTAGGAGAGAAATAGAATGTGCTGGATTTATATAATGCAGAAGTCCCTCCATGGTTTAGGTTCACCTGGAACACATGAAAAGAAAAACAATGTTATTTAAGTATAGCTTGAAAGGAAATAAATGCAAACACATCTCCCCAGTGAGATTATTAACAATTAGATGATTAATAAGTCAGGTACTCTTTGGGGACAGGTTTACCATCATCCAACTAACATGCTGACTTCCCATCATCCAAAATTGTGTTTGGGTCTGTCCATTTTTCTGCAAAATGTCAAATAAATAAATAAATGCCCAACCCCAAAAGCAAACTGCATGTTGATGCTTAAATTAAGTGGGAATAGCCAACCAGCCGCTTTGGTTTCATCCCAGTGATCACACTCTGGAACCAACCCAAATCAGGCCGATCTTACCTGTCTCTATAAAAGAGTATCCCTGGACAGGAAGCCAAAAAGATGCAGGTAGGGATGCTCTGGGAACTGAGCAGTCTTACTTGTCATTTCAAACGCTGATTTCATCATGCTTTTTAAGGCTATAACCCTAAACACACTAGGGAGAAAGCACTATCAAACATAATGGAACTGGCTAGCATGTGCAGGCCATACTGAATACAGGTACAGACTGGGCTAGATCCAAACTAAGGGTGTGGCTACATAAGAGTTAGTCCCACATTTTGGTCCACTGTGCAGATGGGCTGGTTTACTCCTATAAAGAACTGAAGGATACTGGGAATTGTAGTCATATAAAGATTAAGTCTTTTGGTTGTTCTGGGTTTTTCGGGCTCTTTGGCCGTGTTCTGAAGGTTGTTCTTCCTGACGTTTCACCAGTCTCTGTGGCCAGCATCTTCAGAGGACAGCAACCTGTACTCTGGCTGTCCTCTGAAGATGCCGGCCACAGAGACTGGCGAAACGTCAGGAAGATCAACCTTCAGAACATAAGCCTGAAACACCCAGAACCATTAGATCCTGGCTGTGAAAGCCTTCGCGAATATAATGAAGTCTTTTAATAAAATAAAATTCCTAATAAAAATATAATTCTTACAGAGGACTTGTCTCTTGAACAGCAGGACTTACACCTAAATCCAGTGGAGATTTGAGAAGGTCACTAAGTTGCTACTATATTTGAGCGGTCCTACTTTACAAAGCTGTTGTGCTGTCTAAGGAAACACAAAGCCAATGCTTAGGTACTTTGAAAGTAAGCAAAGGCTTTTCTTTAAGGTCAGGATAGTCCATGGGGTTTATGCTATGCACTTCTGAGGCCTAAAGTACGTACCTCAGAGATAAAGGTGGTAGTTTTGCACCAGTGACTCCCTGTCCAAACATCATACAGTGGTGCCTCGACCGTCCCTACTTACAACCATTTTGAGTTACAACCAGCTCCGGTCGCAAAATTTTGCTTCGACTTGCAGCCAGAGCTTTGAGTAACAACCAAAAAAAGGCAGGGGAAAAAAGCGGGAAATTCAAACCGTTGGTGGCAAAGAGGCTGCTTCTTTGTAGCTCTTTCACCCCAACGGTTAGGGAAAGGGAGGCAGCGGTGGGGGGAGGCAGCAGAGGGGGTGTCCCTCGGCGCTCCTCGCCGCCCTCCACGGGGCTGCTGCTGCTGCTGGATCCCGGTCCTCAGCCTCGGGGGCAGAGGGCCCCCCGATCCTGGCTCCTGGAGAAAGGGTCTTCCCGTGACATTGTCCCAGGCAAGGTGGGGCCGCACTCAGCCCTTGGCCCCATGACAGCGGCTCCCTTTCTCTGCCAGCGGGTGGCTCCTGAGCAGCAGGTGGCTCGCTCACCAGTGGTGCCCGACACCACATCCTGCACCAGCTGCTCACTGGGGTGGCTGCGTTGGGCTTCAGCACTCCCTGCCGCCCTCCGCAGGGCTGATGCCGCTGCTACTGGGTCCCTGAGCAGCAGGTGGCTCACCCACTGCGGGTGCCTGATGCTGCCTCCCACTCCTGCACCGGCTCCAGCGGCTGCTCACTGGGGTGTCCACGTTGGGCCTCAGCGCAGGAGGTGGAGGAGCACCCAATCCCAGCTCCTGGAGGCAGTGCTGAAGGAAGCCTACTGTTTGCTTTTTAAAAACTGTTCTGGGTGGGTTTTGCAGGGTGGTCTTGGGATTGGGTGGGTTATGTTTCTGTGCTGTGTTGTTGTTTGTTTTTAGGTGATTTTTTTTTGCAGCATGGGACTTACGCTGTTTATTTTTGGGTTATGTGTTTTTTTCAGCCCCAGCGCATTCCTATGGGGCTTGCAGTGATGATGATGATGATGATGATTATTATTATTATTATATGATGATGATGATGATTACTATTATTATTATTATTATTATTATTATTATTTGGTGGAGTTGTGTTTTTTTTGCTGGAATTGATTAATTGCGTTCGCATGCATTCCTATGGGAATGCATGCTTCCACTTACGACCATTTCAAGTTACGTCCATCTTCTGGAACGGATTATGGTCGTAAGTCAAGGCACCACTGTACTCTCTTTAGGGAGAGGTGATCGTTACTCCTTCTCCTGGTGACCACAAGATGCAAATGCTAGTGTGAATCAGTTTGTTCCCAGAGCATTTCTACCTGCACCTTTTGACTCCTTATTAGCGGCTACTCTTTTTTTAGGTGTAGGTAAGATAACTCTCTTTTGGTGTAATTGCTGGGATGAAACCAAAACAGCTGTTTGGCTGTCCCTTTGCTAAAACCACTTAACAATCTTCAGAAATGGCAAGCTTCCTTGCTGTTTGCCTTTAGAGGGCAAGGGAGAGGCAGTTTTGCATTTCTTTTTAATTGTTGTTAATCTATCAGCAATGCCTTGAAAGGGCTTTTGTTGTTTTTTGCAACAATTAAAAAGAAATGCAAAATTTCCCCTCTCTTCTGCTCCAAAGGTGAATGGCAAAGATTTTTGTTTCTCAGGAGACTTGAGCAGCTTTCTCCTTTGTGCTTTGCCTAAGCTGCTTAGCAACCTTGATAAATGGGAACTTTTCTTTTAAAGGGACTGTGCTAAACAGGGTTACTTGCCTTGTGGTGTTTTTTGATCTTTGTATATAAGGATGACCCGAAATGAAATGCCACAACTTAGAGTAGCCCTCTTTAGCATATCTTTGTAGACCAATCCATGCTGGTATAACTTGGTGGTCTAGTCACACTCTAAATTAACTGCATATTTCCCCATTGCAATTTATGTTGAAAGTCATACTGTAAGACAAGTTGGTTGAAATCTTGCTAGTGCAGCGCCATGTGTGCAACGCTGCCTCAGCTTTTTATCTAATTTCCCCTCCCAGGTTCCAAGGCTCCCTTTTATCCCAGGGAAGCCTTGGGGGAGCTCAGGGAAGGGACAGGGGAATTTATAACATCTGAAAAATCATCACTGCTAGGACTGGCACTAACCGTCGCAGTGTGGGGACATTAATTCACTAAGGACCCCAAAGGCTTCCCCAGGACAAAAGGGATTTTTAGAGGATCTTGAAATCTCTGAGGGAGAGAATTAGAAATTTTTAATTAGCGCAAATGGCAGGCTGGATAGTTCAGTGATTTCGTATCTGACTGCGAAGCCAGAGGTTGGGAGTTTGATTCCCCACTCCACATCCTAGAACAGCCAGCCTGTGTGGCCTTGGGCAAGCTGCACAGTCCCTGGATTGCCCCAAGAAGAAGGGAATGGTAAACCACTTCTGCGTACTCTGTACCTAGGAAACCCTGAAAAGGCAGCCATAAATCAGAATAGACTTGATGGCACATGATTATTATTAATTATTGAGAAAAGGACAGAGCTGATGATGACATCAGCTCTGCATTTGCTGGAACTGTGTCAATAGGATTTCGGCCATTAATTTCCATAAGAAGTGAGGTGCTGCGTACGCATAAATGCTATAAACAGCTATAAGAAATGCAGGCCATTACCTATATATACTGTACAGTGGTGCCTCGCTTAGCGACATTAATCCGTTCCAGGAAAAACGTTGCTAAGCGATTTAATCGATAAGCGATTTTGAAAAGCCCATAGAAACGCATTAAAACGTGTTTAATGCGTTTCTATGGGCTTAAAAACGGACTTTATGTGAAGATCCTCCACAGGGGTGGCCGTTTTCGGTGTCTCTAAAGCAAGGCAAAACAGCGGGTGGCCATTTTGTTTTTCCGGCAGCCATTTTGGAACCGCCGATCAGCTGTGCAAAAAGGGTCGCTTTGCCATGATCGCTTCCCCGCGATCATTGCAAAGCGATTTTTCCCCATAGGGGCTATCGCTAAGCGATCGCTCTGGCGATGGCCAAAACCCCATCGCTAAGCGATTTCAACGCTCAACGAAGCGATTGCTAAGCGAGGCACCACTGTATTTGATTATATACTTCAGTACCAGTCAAGCTGTTTCCCACCACCATCAGACATAAGAGACAAAAAAAAACAAGACTTCTCAAATATCTTTTGCTTTCCAAACCCCCCACCCCCCCAGTAGTATGTAAAATAGCAGACTAACCTGTTAAAATCTATTTTCCCTCCCCTCATGGCTGATCTGAAAGTATTTGGGCTGTAATCCTATATATAATTATCCATGAATTGAGCCCTGCTAAATTCAACTGTGGCTCCCCTCTACACCTACACACCTAGCCTTAGAGAGGCCAAGTGTCACATTCAAGAACCCCAAGAGTATGTGAAATATGCATTGATTAGACTTCTGCATATGCAAGAAGAAGAAGAAGAAGAAGAAGAAGTGAAATAGAACAGTCAAAGAAAAAAAAGACCTTCTTTTACTATCCATGTAGTTTAGTTGTGCTGATCTGGCTCAGAAGTTCCCAATGCTGATTTTTGCAAGTGCCACTGATCCTAGACTCAAAATGCTAGATCAGGAATTATGAGCATGCAGCCAAGGGGATGTTGTCAAAAATGTTATTAACAATTACATTTTCGGGTTATATTGGTGCTTCTTTTCTCAGACGTTCTTCCTTGTGAGATTTGCAAAATAGATTTAGTGTCCAATACTAATCTTAATCCAGATGGACAAGCATTGGCAGACTCACACATATAGAACATTTTCCAGCTAACCGCTTCCCAACCTATATAACTGTGTATTATGACCAATCATGTAGATTTGTAATTTAAAGTGTGCCTTTATTCCCTTTCCAGTTTTGCCTAAGATTGTGGAGTTGACTCATGCAATTTATCTCATTACACATGTACATCATAATTAGTTGTACCAGAATGCTATGAAAGTATGAAAATCCACACCTAGAAAGGCATGTTTTTGCATTCCCCTAGCTGCCCAATGCATGCCCAATTGTGGGATTTTCTGTACAATCAGGGCATAGCTGGCCACGGCACATGACAAAACAGACAGCAAAATAGATACAACCAGCTACATAACCGCCCTTCTACAACTGCATAAACTAACAGGATTCTGGCCACAGAATTGTTGAACTAGTCAACAAGTCCAGTGGCCCCCAACCTTTTCCCAGCTGTGCATCGGTTGGAGAGTTCCATGAAGGGGGGGTGGGGCACCCCATGCTCATGGGTATGTGGGGCTCACGTTCACAGGGGGTGCTTGTGGGTAGGCGGGGTGCGCTTTTGTGCATGCACGGGGGCAGGCGCTCATGGGGGCAGGGAACGCTCACACACATGTGTGGGGGAGCGGTTGATCTGTCTCCATGGCCCACTCCTGCCAGGGCCAGGGCCCTCTACCAGGCCGCAGACTAGGGGATGGAGACCCCTGATCTAGTCCATTCCCCAAGTGACACACAATATCTACAGCTTGAACATTCCAAACATAAAGCTATTCAAACTCTGTTTAAATACCTTTGATGAAGGAGAGCCCAGAATCCTCTGAGGCAGTTCATTCTACTGTATAGCAGTTCTTGCCATCAGGAAATTCTTCCTAATGTTTAGTTGAAATCTCCTTTCTTGTATGTTGAAACCACTGGTTTGGTCTCGCCCTCTGGAATCATTAAGAGGGAAAAAAGCCTGTTTTCAGCAGGGTTTCTTTCAATTTCCTGGCATATACACTGGGAAGCATATCAATATATATAATACAGATGTAATCAAAAATGCAAATCAGGTTTATTGTCAATATTTACAGACTTTCAGCTGTTTACAATAAACAAATCAAACAAAAGTAATTGAAATAGCTCCCCACAAGAATTGCTTCAAGTGGTTTCCCCAAATTCAACTGAAAATAGCATGAGAGGCTTTACAGATGAGATTTTGGAGTTTGTGCTGTATACCAGAATGGATAGGATGCCAATGCACGCAGGTGTTTATCACATATTCTGAACAGGAAGGCTGGTGAATTGTTTCAAAAGCCCCTCAAAGTAGAAAACATACAGCTGGAACAGAAAAGTCCAGCATGTGGTCAGGATGGAGCATTCCAGACTGCGATATACTTCCATGTGTGATCACACCCTGAATCTCACAGCTGCTTGTTCATTTAATGTTCAATCAGTAGTGGTGCACTGCATTTCAAATGGCCCTTGGACTTAAAAGTTAATGCTTCGCTTCTAACTTTAAACAAATGAAATTAAAAATAAATAAGCTTACCATAAAACTTCTCTTTACTCTTGAATACACTTCAGAATTCTGGAAATATCAAGATTTCGGGTTGTACCTGCTTCTTAATCTGCAGTTTCCTTGAAAACTGTATTTTAAGTAGTCTGGAAGAAAGGAAAAAGTGTACTTTAAAAAAAAAAACAAAGGTACAAAACATTTTCCTGTTTTTGCAGCAAGTTGTACTCACTGTACTAATTTTGTCTCAAAATCGTTATTTCCCCTGATTCTTTTCCCCCACATTTTTTCTGGAACAAAAGCCATTATATTATCTTGATTAAATCAAATAATTTACATAGTGTAGCACATTTGAAATTTAATGTACGTAAATATATATTTTAAAAATTGCTATACTGACTTCAGAATCTGTAGCATGAATCTGTGTATTTTCAGCCCACAAAGTGCTATTGTAATTGGGAAAAATAAACATGTTAAATGATTTTTCTTTATCATACTAATTATGAATTTTCCTCTAGTAACTGTTCATTCTCCTGGGCAGATTATATGGAGATAGTGGTGCATTTTCTGTTTTGCTTGAAGCGGCAAAATGCCTGCCTGAGTGTGCATTAATAATCACACCAAGCGTAATTGTGTCTCATTTGGCTGCAATTCCTTCCTTACACAAGCGATTCCCATGTTACAACATCTCGTATATTGTATGCTAGCTGTTTCCAGTTTATAGCACTAATTATAATCTATAAAGCCCTACACAACTTGGAACCAGGTTATTTGAATAGTTTTAAATTGGTTTTAATTATGACTGAGGGCAACTTTTAAAAGTAGACAATCTGGATAAAAATATAAGAATTACATCAATGAGTAAAATACAGTGGTGCCCTGCTTGACGACAGTACTGTAATCCGTTCTGTTAAAATCACTGTAGAGCGAAATCGTCATCAAGCGGGGGGGGGGAAACCCATTGAAACACATTAAAAACCGGTTAATGCGTTCCAATGGGCGAAATCCCTCATTGACTAGCAAAGATCCCCCATAGGGTGGCCATTTTCCGGTGCCTGTAATGCGAAAAATCAGTCCTGAAAACAGCAGGGAGCCATTTTATACAGCGGGCGGCCATTTTGAAACCCGACGATCAGCTGTTTTTAGATCATTGTAATGCAAAGAATCGGTTCCCGAAGCAGGGAACCGATCGTCGTAAAACGAAAATTGCCCTTTGAAACATCGTTTTGCAATCGTAATAGTGATCGCAAAAACATGGTTGCGAAGCGATTTCAGTGTCAAGCAGGGTAAGCGTCAAGCGGGGCACCACTGTATTTGAATGACAACATTCCTTATAAGTCTGACTCAGTTTTAAGAACCACAGCAGTTCTTCTCTCACACATTCATTTGAGGCATGTTCGATGGGAACAATGCGAGAAGTTTACCATGTTTGCTCCCACATTCTGAAGTTCCCTCCAGTGGTTATGGAGATTAGGTCCATCTCTGATGTTCTCTCAGTTGGCTAAGATATTCTTACCTTTGATTTGTCAGTTTACTGACATGGATTTTTAATGGCTGAGTGTACAGTAATGTACTTCTTAATTATATTTATTTCTTTTTAACCAATTTTATTCTATTTCTTGATTACCATTTTGTCTTACCCTGCATTTCATGGCTCCTAGTTGTCTTGGACTCCATTTGTATTAGAAAAGCAGGATCTGAATTTAACAATATTAAAAAGCTACTGTTTACCTACATTGAGAAACAGTGCCAAAGGGCACTTTCTATTTATAAATATTCTGGAACTTAGATATCACAGTAAGATGAACTTATGTTGAAGGTGGAACATCACCTCCAGCTGTTATCCCTGACAGTCCAAGATGGCATTGCAGATATTTGCCAGCCCCTATTACTTTCATCTGCAAAAACAAAAAACAACTACCAGCACCCCAACAAACAAACAGATACCAATGTACCTTTTCACACACTTGCAAATAGGTTGCATTATATCTTAGATTTCCCTACTCAGCCACAGTTAGCTTCTCTTTCTTTCTTTGAGCCTCTTATTGTTCACTGGAGCCTTCATCCTTTTACCAGCTGTCCAGAGAGCATTTGAAAAGCATTCCCCCACCCTCCCAAAAGAATGATTAATCATTTCCCTGCTAACCAGCTTTCTACTAAAATTTTCCCTTTCTGCTTGTGATTCGATTTGCTTGTGATTTTGGAGTGAAAATGCTAAGGAATAGATTGTTCAAAGAAAAAGCTTCCTATAATGAAATGTTGGCCATCACTTTCATTTAAGAAAAACAAACAAAACAGAACTCTGGCTACATGCAACAAAATGGATAGATGGATAGATTAACTTCCACCTACCTCCTTAAGCAGAAACTTTCCATGTCCAGCCAATTCTGTATCTTTGGTTGCCTCTTATTCTGTTCTAAGGCCTTATTGCTGACTCACACAAAATTTTTATGTAGTCAAATCTTTATTTAACAAGCTAAGGGATTAACAACACTCACAAATATTGCTGCTGTGCTTCTGAATGCAGTGTGGATATCTTTAGTTAGCCATAGCTTCCTGTTTTGTCTAAATTGAAAGACTATGGCTACCAATTTCAGAACAAGCTAGGACCACCTTAAGCCGATGCCAAGTTGTAGTGCAAGGCTCTTGGTTTGTTAAAAACCATGATAATCACAATTTCCTTGTTTTGATTAAGCAACAAGCTACAGTTAACTGAAAGCTTCTGCACTGTATTCAGGTGGACCACAGAGGTAGAGCAGTATGTGTCTGTTAAAGAGCTCAAGCAGGTGAGCAAAAGGCTTATTTCATCAATACGCAGTTGTTCTAAACAGACTTTTATGCTCACGGCTGAAGCTCTCATCTTTCTTTTCTCCCCTTGTACATGCTCTCTCATTCACCCCACTGATCAAGCCGTGACATTTTGTTCCAGTTCTCACTCTTCACCGTCTTGCAATTTCACATTGGATCACCTGGTGCTGTAATTTGGAACTGCTGCCATTTATCTCTGATACCTCAGCAGGAACATTTGTTCATTGGCTCCCAATCCTTGGTTGCACAACCAACATGATCAAAGGGGAGAAATTCTGGCTGTTATTGTCTAATAACATCTGGAGCCTGAACGTAGAGCACCACTAATTCATACTCCTCTAATCTTCTGTCTCTGATCTTCTGCAATTGGTACCTCAGCTGTCTCACATCTATCCAGGGCTCTGAAACAATTCACCAGCTCATCCGCCAAAACACCTACATGCATTGGCATCCTATCCATTCTGCTATACAGCACAAACTCCAAAATCTCATATTTAAAGCCTCTCATGCTATGTCTCATATTATCTCTCCACCTTCATATTTTCATAACTATCGTCCATGTCCTTTATTCCACCAACAACACTAGTCATCCCGGCAACCTTCCCTCTCAGCTGGGTAGCGCTGCATTGGGGCCGCATAGCCACAGTCAGCGTTGTTCCTTATTTGGTTCCAGTCGCAGCCGGAACCCCAACCTGCAGGATGGGGCCCATGCCCAGCACTGGCAAAACATTAGAGGAAACATTGCATCCAATTGGTTGTTGTGGGTTTTGCAGGCTCTTTGGCCGTGTTCTGAAGGTTGTTCTTCATAACGTTTCGTCAGTCTATGTGGCCGATATCTTCAGAGGACAGCATTCTGTGCTCTGGTGTAGTTGGCTTGGGAGTGGAGTATTTATGGCTGTGAGATAGGCTTTTGTCTTTTTCTGTAGATGGGTGATTAGTATGTCTTGTTGTGGGTGTATTGTTGTGATAAGATGGAGAGATTATCTGTCACTGTGGTTGATGGGTGTCATTAGCTGGTCTTTTGTGTGCAGTGATCCCCAGTCCTTGTGGCTGGGTAGAGTTCG